AGTGCCCACATGGCTTTCTAGTCATGTAATTACCAGCTTCTCTTATAAACACATGCTTCAAGAAAGCAAACTGCACCACCTCACACAAGTGGGGCCACCAAAAGAGTCTACAGCGAATGTAACATGCTATATAATACCATAGTCTCACGTTACAATGTCAGGTCCAGTTCTTTGGTCACCATCATACAGACAGGATTACTAGCAAATTCATAAGCGAACACAAAAGAAAGATATTCTGCGATTTAAGTCTAACTCCAACTACATTTTATATAACAGCCAAGGGTTTTTGTGTTTTTCTTTGCTTTTGAAGCATGGTCTCACTCTGTCACTCAGCTGAGTGGTACAATTACGGGCTCACTGCAGCCTCAACCTTCCAAGCTCAAGTGTTCCTACCATCTCAGCTTCCCAAGTACTTGGACTATAGGGTACACGCACATCATGCCTAGTCATTTTAGAGACGGTGTCTCACTATGCTGTCCAGGCTGGTCTTGAACTCCTGGCTCAAGCCCAATTCTCCCACGTTGGCCTCCCAAAGTGCTGAGATACAGGGATGAGTCACCACACCTGGCCCACAGTCAAGTCTTTAGGACCACAGTTCTTTAAACTTTAAGGCTTAAAGCTAACTTATTGTCTTTTCTATTTTGAAAATGGAGTCTCACTCATGTCTCTCAGACTGCAAGGCTGGAGTGCAGTGACATGATCAAGACTCACGCAACCTCCACCTCACAGGTTCAAGCAATTCTCCTACCTCAGTCTCCCAAGTAGCTGAGATTATAGGCCCAGTTAATTTTTGGATTTTTAGTAGAGACAGGGTTTCACCATTTTGGCCAGGTTGGTTTTTGAACTCCCTGGCCTCAAGTGATCCACCTGCCTCAGCCTCGCAAAGTAGCTGAGATTACAGGCATAAGCCACCACACCCCGGTCATAACTGATTTTTTGTTTGTTTTGCCTTCTGAGGAGATTAGTGACCCCAAATTACCTGCTTTGCATGCTTTTCTTAGCTTCATGCTTCCTTTGATTTTTAAGAGCCTGTTTTGATAACGGCTTCTCATTTCCTGACATTGTGCCGTTTCATTATTCTCGAGGTTGCGTCTCTACTCTGTCATGCTATGCAAAATGCTAAAATATTTGAAATGGAGTAGTCCATGTTGTCAAACACCATACAACAACAACATAAGTATTACTTCTGCTAATATAGCGATTAAACTTATTTTTATCAATTTAAGCATCATTAGCAAAGATATATTTTCTTCTTTTCTTTCAAAACTAAGTAGTCGCCATCACTCCACTGCTCAGGATAGAATTTAATTAGCGGTCTTCACTATTAGTGCTATATCTTTCAATCATATCAGAGCTGGCAAAATTCACTTTAGTTTTGTTCAAACAACAGAATTTTTCTTAGCACTACTACAGACACATGATTACTTATGAGACTATATATCAATAACAGCTTCTTCTGAGGTCTTTTGATTCTGACTACTGTCCAACAGAAATTCAGTTGCCTTGCTTAGTTTCTTCATTACAAAGAATTACTTGCTAGATCTTTTTTTTTTTTTTTTTGGGACGGAGGTTTGCCTCTTGTTACCCAGGCTTGGAGTGCAATGGCGCAATCTCGGCTCACCGCAACCTCCGCCTCTCTGGGTTCAAGCAATTCTCCTGCCTCAGCCTCCTGAGTAGCTGGGATTACAGGCACGCACCACCATGCCCAGCTAATTTTTTGTAATTTTAGTAGAGACGGGGTTTCACTAAGTTGATCAGGATGGTCTCGATCTCTTGACCTCGTGATCCACCCGCCCTCGGCCTCCCAAAGTGCTGGGATATTACAGGCTTGAGCCACCGCGACCGGCTACTTGCTAGATCTTTACTTGTAAAATCAGAAATTAGAAGATTTAAAAATAAAAGCAAATGAAAAACAAGAATCGTTTACAATACATGAAATAGAAGTAACTACGATAACTATAAATCTGGGATTGACATAATAAAGAGGGCAAAAAAATTACATGGCTTTTCAGATTACACAATTAAAACAATCAGTTCCATCATCAGATATTTATTAAATCATGTAACAACCATAATCCACAATAGAAAAGATGGTGAATTATAGGTTCAATGTATCTCCAGAGTTAGTTTTAGACAACATACAGTATGACTGATAGCACTACAGTTCCCTAATCAGATTCAACGTACTTACTGATTTCTATCTCTATACTGCTGTTATTTTAATTGTTAACTGTGTCTTAGACTCTATCATAACTCAGCATATCAAAAGTATCAGTTCTCCATGAGTTTCTTGAGTACTAGGTTTCAGATCTGCATTTTATTTTCTAAGTCCTATACGGAGATGGGCAAGACTCAAAACACTTAAGATGCGAGTAATAAATAAGAAACCATAAAGTGACCTTATCTTAGCAAATGCACTATTTCAGGTCATCAGAGTTCTGGGTATGTTTACAGTCTACTCGAAGAACAGACTGAGTATTGTGTGAATCCGCATTTGTAGACAGCCGATAAATCTGGAGTACAAGCGTCTTTTATTTCATTTATAATCTAACTGTATAAAATGCTACTTAAGCTATACAATATTTGCTGACATCTGTTTTACACATAATATGAAAACTCTTCAAAGTGGGCTCTTCTGTAGTTTTGTTTTGGCTGTAAAGGCTTCTGCTCAGGAGAACTTTGATTTAAAAATGATGCAAGAAGAAAAGGTAAGTTACAAGTCCCTTCCACACTTATGAGCATCATATAGCCCCTGAGAGTGCTTCACTTCAGACAAAAAAATCCATACAACTACTACAGATCAGGATTTTTTTTTCTGGTTTTGGTACTATGTGCTCATTATATGTACTTTCATTCTTATTAATACACTTTATTAAGTTATATCAATTATTATGGGGCTGTTTTGATGAACACATTTTATTTTTCTCAGCTTACTGCAACCTCCCTTCCTGAGGCTCAAGTGATTTCCCACCTCAGCACCCTGAGTAGCTGGGACCACAGGCAGACCACCATCATGCCCAGCATTTTTTTTTTTTGTATTTTTAGTAGTGACAGGGGCCTTGCCATGTTGCCCAGGCTAGTCTCAAATTCCGGGGGCTCAGGCGATCCACCCCATCGCTCTCCCAAATTACTGGGATTACAGGTGTATAAGCCCTGCACCTGGCCAACGAACACATTTTAAAAGGCAAAGGTTATTTGGATAAGCTAATAAATATCTTTAAGGATAATTCATATATAAATTTTTACTTATAAAAATTTTTTCTGTGGTGGACGAACCCTGCCTTTTTTCCCCTACTGCTGTGTAACCTCCTCCTTTGTAAAGTTATCTACTATGCAGTCCTTTGTTTCTAGTAATTTCTTCACAGTATTTGCTTTGTAATTTAGCTATTTCTGGAATTGGATACACATAAAATTTCTAATTATTGGGCATACAGCTACTTCAACTAAAAATGATTTGACAGGACCACATAATCATTATGCACATAAAAAAAGCAAAAATTTAGTGGAAATCTTAAATGTTAAAAAACATCCTGGTTGGGTACGGTGGCTCATGCCTGTAATCCCAGCACTTTGGGAGGCTGAGGCAGGTGATCACTTGAGGTCAGGAGTTCCAGACCAGCCTAGTCCAACATAGTGAAATCCCAACTCCACTAAAAATACAAAAATTAACTGGGCGTGGGTGGCAGGTACTTGTAATCCCAGTTACTCAAAAGGCTGATGCAGGATTGCTTGAACCCAGGAGGCGGAGGTTGCAGTGAGCTGAGATCGTGCCACTGTGCTCCAGCCTAGGTGACAGAGTGAGACTCTGTTAAAAAAAAAAAAAAAAAAATCCTGATTTTAAGTTCTTACTTAATTTCATCACCATTTTCAAAGTATTAGTTTCTGTATCAATCTATTCCCCTCACCAAAATAAACCTACTAGTTTTATGGATCAAAGAATTGGACTATCTTGCACAGATTCAGAAAGCAGGATGGGCTGGAGTTACTTCTGTTTTTATCTGAGGTAAGGAAAATTCCAAATAGGACAAATCCGAAGTCTACTATATACTTTCTTTTTTAATCTAAATAAATATGATAAATACAAATAAATAAATATTGTGTTGTTTTTATATAATTTTACTTAAATAATAAAATGACAGTGTTTAAATAGAACATTTAGATGGAAAATAAGAAGTTTCAGACCACCGCTACATTTTGTTCAGTCCAAAAGGAAGGGTTGCTCTTTTTGTTTTGCTTCGTTTTTTGAGACGAAGTCTTGCTCTGTCGTTCAAGCTGGAATGCAGTGATTAAATCTCGGCTTACTGCAACCTCTGCCTCCTGGGTTCAAGTGATTCTCCTGCCTCAGCCTCCAGAATAGCTGGACTATAGGCACCCGCTAACCCATCACCTGGCTGATTTTGTATTTTAGTAGAGAAAGCGTTTTGTCATATTGGCCAGGCTGGTCTCGAACTCCTGACCTAGTGATCCGCCCACCTCAGCCTCCCAAAGTGCTGGGATTACAGGCTTGAGCCACCACACCTGCCTGGTTGTTGTCTTGTTTTTGTGAGGTGAGGAGTGGCACCAGGAAGGCAAAGGACAAGTACATTTATTTGACCAAGAAGTGTTTTAAAAATTGAGAAATTTTCTGTAAGAATTCAGAATTGTTTTGTCTCAAAATTCAAACATTTTGGAAAACTGAACCTAAAATCTCCTATGGAAAGAATCAGCTATTGCTGTGTAGCTGCAGTAGCCTTTAAAGAGGGCATGATGGGCGCAGTAGCTCATGCTTGTAATCCCAGACTTTGGGAGGCTGAGAAGGGCAGACCACTTGAGGTTAGGAGTTCAAGACCAGCCTGCCAACATAGTGAAACCCCATCTCTACTAAAAATACAAAAAAATTAGCCAGGAGTGGTGGCAAGTGCCTGTAATCCCAACTATTTGGGAAGCTGAGGCAGGAGAATAGCTTGAACCCAGGAGGCGGAGGTTGCAGTGAGTTGACATCATGCCACTGTACTCCAGCCTAGACGACAAGAGGGAGACTGTCTCAAAAAAAACAAAAAAACCCAAAAAATGGTAGGAGCTCTCTCATTCACCATTCTCTCCCACTCACCATTGCCTTACATTACTGGCCTAGCCTGAAAGATATCTGAATTTGAGCCTCTGATCTACAATTTGAGCCTCTGATCTGCCATACTCAGTTACATATCCTAGAAAATTTAATTTTATTTATTATTGTTTTTAGAGATGGGGACTCACCATGTTGCCCAGGCTGGTCTTGAATTACTGGGCTCAAGCAATCCTCCCTCCTTGGCCTCCCAAAGTGTTAGGATTACAGGCGTGAGCCACCGTACCCAGCTTATCCCAGAAAGTTTAAATGTGAATTATTTTAAGTTAACTACTTTGTCAACCTAATAATATGAGCTATTCATCATCTTCAGGAGTAAGTCCTCAAAGATTCATATTCTGATCTGGTACTAAGTAACACAAGAGCATGAGAAAAAAAATCTAGAGAACTCCACACTGTGACAGACCTTTTTCTTTTATTTTTATTTTTTGTTTTTTGAGACAGAGTCTTGCTATGTTGCCCAGGCTGGAGTGCAGTGGTGCAATTTCAGCTCACTACAACCTCTGCCTCCCAGGTTCAAGCAATTCTCCTGCCTCAGTCTTCCGAGTAGCTGGGATTACGGGCATACACCACCATGTCCAGCTAATTTTTGTATTTTTAGTAGAGATGGGGTTTCACCATGTTAACCAGGCTGGTCTTGAACTTCTGAACTCAAGTGATCCTACCACCTTGGCCTCCCAAAGTGCTGAGATTACAGGTATAAACTACTGTGCCTGACCCAAAATAAACTTTTTTCTATAAAAGTAGTAAAACTTTACTTACCAGTTTGGAATTGGTGATTGGTTTATTTCTTAAAGCTGGAGGTCTATAAGCTGTTGCAACTTTAGGTTCCTCATTGGGTACTTCACTTGGAACTGCTTGGTAAGTTATTGTTTTTGCTGGAAATATTCCATCCAAAAATGGCTGCCAAGAAACTTGCCATAATTCTGCATTTGATGGCACATCATACTTGTGCAAGATAGCGCCAGTATAATGCCAAATTTTGTATCCATTATTAACCCGTAATCTGGGAGCACATGTGGCTGTTAAAATATGCTCACCATCTGGGCACCAAGCAAAATACGTAGAATCAGAAGCCACTGGTTTAGAAATAAGTTTGTAGTTTTTCACATCCCACACTTCCATTTGTCCTCTCAGATTTCCAAATCCAGCTAATACTAATATATGTCCATGAGGGCTATAGTAGGCTGCATTACGAGGACCAGTTCCAAAGTCAAATACAGGATCGCATTTCAAGTTGAAAATTGTCGCTTTGGCAGGCATAAAACCATAAACAGCACAAAACTCAGTAGAACTAGAATTCCAAACTACATCATAAATGGGGCCATTTTTTGCTAGAGAAAGAATATAAAGCCCAAATTAGCAATAAAGAACTATATCAATATTTGTTAGCAGAAGTTACCATCATATAGTACTCATAAACACGTCAAACAGATAAAAAAAATGTCAAGGAATTAACATTAAAATACTCTTACATTAAATACTAGGGGGATTAATGTATAATCATGAATTTATTTAAGAACCCCTACTGAGTCTTAATTTCTTTTAAAAATTTTGGCAATATGGGCTTATAGTAATAGTTTGTTAGTATTAATAATTTTTTTTGGAAGGGGTAATATGTGCAAATGGTAATCAAAATACAAACTTATTTATTTATTTATTTTTAGAAATGGGATCTCACTTTGTGGCCCACACTGGAGTGCAGTGGCATGATCACAGCTCACTGCAGCCTCCACTTCCTGGGATCAAGGGATCCTCCTTTCTTGGCATTCCAAAGTGCTAGGATTAAAGGAAGGAGCCACTGTGTCCTATATTTTTAAAAATACCACAAAAGGCCAGGCATGGTGGCTCAAGCCTGTAATCCTGGCACTTTGGGAGGCTGAGGTGGGCAGATCACTTTTAGTAAGGAGTTTGATACCATCCTGGCCAAAATGGTAAAACCCTGTCTCTACTAAAAATATGAAAATTAACCGGGCCCAGTGGCATAAGCCTGTAATCCCAGGTACTCATGAGGCTGAGGCAGGAGAGTCACCTGGGAGGCAGAGTGAACCAGTGAGCAGAGATGGTACGACTGCACTCCAGCCTGGGCGACAGAGAGAGACTGTCTCAAAAAAAAAAAAAACCCACAAAAAACAGGATGCTTTATCCAAAGGCAACCCTCTGTTATATTTCTTGCATATCCTTTCAGAATTTTTTTTTTTTTTTGAGATGGAGTTTCGTTCTCATTGCCAAGGCTGGAGTGTAGTGGTGCAATCTCAGCTCACTGGTTCACTCTGCCTCCCAGGTTCAGGTGATTCTCCTGCCTCAGCCTAGTGAGTACCTGGGATTACAGGTGCATGCCATTGCACCCGGTTAATTTTTGTATTTTTAGTAGAGATGGGTTTCACCATGTTGGCCAGGATGGTCTCAAACTCCTGACCTTGTGATCAGCCCACCTCAGCCTCCCAAAGTGCTGGGTACATTTTAATATCTGGTAGTGTCAGAACTCCAGAGAACTTCCTCTAGCCTGCTATTCTTTTACAAAAGTTTCCAAAATATTCTTGCATATTCATTTTTCAACACCCACCTTAGAACCAGTTTATTTAGTTAAAAAAAATCAACTGGCATTTAAATTTAGTTTTAGGCTGACAGGAGAGAAATGACACCTTTATTAAAATAGTTCTTAGTAAAGGTCATAGTTTGTCTCCTTGAAGTTTTAAAGTTTTCTTCCCACTGGCCCTATATATTTGTTCTTATTTTTTGCTATATATGAAATCTTTCATTTTTTTAAGTAGCTTTTGTTTATACTGTGATTTCATCTAAACGAGCAGAGATGATTTTGTTTTCTCCTTTCAAAACTGTATATATTTTACTTCTGCTGATTGGAAATATTGACTAGGTATATCAGAATGTTATTAAAATAAAGTGAAAAGGGGAGTCATCCTTGTTTTGCCTCTGACTTCAATGGAAATACTGGTTTTTAAAAGGTAGATTACCCTACTTACACATGTTCAAACAACAGATGAAGTGGTAACATTCTTGGATATTATTACTATTTTGAGACAGGGTCTCACTGTTTCACCTAGGCTGAAGTACAGTGACATGATCATAGCTCACCGCGGCCTCGAACTTCTGGGCTCATGATCCTTCCACCTCAGCCTCTTGAGAAGCTGAGACTACAGGCCTATGCCACCATGCCTGGCTAAGTTTTTCTATTTTTTAAGAGGTGGGGTCTCACTATGTTGATCAGGCTGGTCTCAAACTCCTGGGCTCAAGTGATCCTCCCACCTCAGCCTCCCAAATGTGTTGGAATTACAGGCATGAGCCACCATGCCCAGCCTCTTGGATATTATTAACAATTCTGAAGATAGTATTAAACATACTAAACAATTTGCTATCATAATAAGTAAGTTCCAAAAGAGCTACTACAATGGAATTACCTCACTCAGGAAGTTCACTCCTAAAAAGCTGCCATAACTCAATTAACTAATTGGATTCTGACAAAATACGGTATATTTGAGGATGATTTTAAGTTTCTTAGTTAAGATGAATTTTATCTTTTTTTTTTTTTGGAGATGGAGTTTCGCTCTTGTTACCCAGGCTGGAGTGCAATGGCGCGATCTCGGCTCACCGCAACCTCCGCCTCCTGGGTTCAGGCAATTCTCCTGCCTCAGCCTCCTGAGTAGCTGGGATTACAGGCATGCGTCACCGTGCCCAGCTAATTTTTTGTATTTTTTGTAGAGACGGGGTTTCACGATGTTGACCAGGATGGTCTCGATCTCTTGACCTCGTGATCCACCTGCCTCGGCCTCCCAAAGGGCTGGGATTACAGGCTTGAGCCACCGCGCCCAGCTAAGATGAATTTTATCCTAAAGGTTATTAAGGTATTTGAATTCTATCTTTTGATCAAGAATTTAGATTATATGATCATTTTTACAGCATAGCATTTTTTACTACCATTGTTTCTAATCAAAGAAAGACTGCCTGAATACTCACGTAATTGTACTACGGCACTTTCTCCATTTGTTGCGATGTAGTGCAGAGTTTGTTCTCCATAGTAGGAAGCTCCTGTCTTGTCAACATCTGTGCTAGCTATTACCAACACAGCAGTAGCTATAAGAGTAACAACTTTAATTAGATTTAAAACACAAATTAAATAGGCATTCATTCTTCTTTTATAACATAGGAATATGTGGCATAAATTAACGACTGGTAAACAAAAGGAGGGATAAAATATACATAGCCTACCTTTTTTATTCCACAGCATTGTAACCTTATCAGCCTTAAAGAAACTTTTATTAGCTAAAGCTGCATGAGGTCCAGCAAAGTTGGGGTACTGATATAATCTAACAAATGAAGGTGCACCTTTACTTCCTGGAACATAGACAGCCACCTAAGATACATAGACATAAATCATTACTTAATTTTTTGAAGACTAAAAACTGAGATGGACATGTTTTTACAGTCACAAAAATGTAGGAAAAGGTTTAAATGCATAATATTCCACATAAACAAAAACAGCAATTACCTTGTATGGTTGTGGTCCAGGTGATAATACAAAATCATTAATTTTTTGCAAATGCAATTTATTTGCAATTGTGTCTAAAAAAAGAGTAAATGAAGTCAGATTGATGAAAGAAGCTAAAAGGAACATGTTAAATTCTGAATACATTATAAAAGGTTATTGTAACTACACACTAATACTATTCATTGTCGTCTCGTGCAGGTGAGGCACAGAAACACAGTGAAAGACGCATGGGGTAGGAGTAAGACAAATGTAGGCTTCAATTTCTACTCAGTCACTTACTCGCAGTATGAACTTAGGTAAGTAATGGGATCATACCACCTAACTCTAGTAACTGATTTTAAGAGAACAGTGCCAGGCACATGGTAGGTTTTTGATAAATATCAGTTATCCTCTCTTCAATCACCGCAATAAAGTGGTTTTAGAACATATTAGATGGAAAAGATCAACCTTGGCCTGCTACTGCAGAATGTGAATATGGAAATTCTGTAACTAATGTGATAAACAGATGCATAATAATGATGACCACAACAATTGTAACAACGGCTGATATTAAGAGCTTATGCTACACTAGGCGGTCTGAATTATGCTATCCTTAATAAAACTGCTACCCTAGTTAATTAGATCAAGAGCTAATATACTTTCTTTGTTCAATTTCAGAGATTGATAGCTTTTCTTCTTTTTTTTTTTTTTTAGACAGAGTTTTGCTCTTGTTACCCAGTCTGGAGTGCAATGGCGCAATCTTGGCTCACCGCAACCTCTACCTCCTGGGTTCAGGCAATTCTCCTGCCTCAGCCTCCTGAGTAGCTGGGATTACAGGCACGCGCCACCATGCCCAGCTAATGTTTGTATTTTTAGTAGAGATGGGGTTTCACCATGTTGACCAGGATGGTCTCGATCTCTTGACCTCGTGATCCACCCGCCTCGGCCTCCCAAAGTGCTGGGATTACAGGCTTGAGCCACCGCACCCGGCCTTATCCCGCTTTTTCTATATAAATGTACCACTAGGTAACCAAAGAGTAGATGGGGAAATTTTTATTTATAGAAGCAGTACAGCTAAAAAATAAGGGAGGGAGAAAAAATCAGAATATCAACAATTTGCAACCACTGATGAAATAATGCATCTAGGCATGAAACATTAAATGTCAGCTAACTCCACAAAATTAAAGACAGCCAGACGTTAGGTGCTTCTTGATAAAAGAAGTGAACACCACCTTATAATGTAGTCTTACCCTCACTCACCTAAAAAACAACCTGAAGCTGACCAACTTTAGCTCCAACTTGCAATTTATAGGGAACAGATGAACGTGTTAAATTATACCATGGGATAAAAATGCAAAATTCAAATTATGGAAAAATACGCAAGACAAATAACCTTGTTTTTTAAATACTGAATTATGAAGAGTAAAAAAAAAAAGATGAGGTCGGGCGCGGTGGCTCAGCCTGTAATCCCAGCACTTTGGGAGGCCGAGGCAGGTGGATCACGAGGTCAAGAGATCGAGACCATCCTGGTCAACATGGTGAAACCCCGTCTCTACTAAAAATACAAAAAATTAGCTGGGCATGGTGGCGTGTGCCTGTAATCCCAGCTACTCAGGAGGCTGAGGCAGGAGAATTGCCTGAACCCAGGAGGCGGAGGTTGCGGTGAGCCGAGATCGCGCCATTGCACTCCAGCCTGGGTAAAAAGAGCGAAAGTCCATCTCAAAAAAAAAAAAAAAAAAAAAAAAGATGGATTGGGAACCTACAGGATTAAAAGAAACATACAATGTGCAGTACCTTATTTGGATCCTGAGTTTTAAAAAAACTGTAACTTTTACAATTAGTAGAAATTAGAACACATATGTAATAATTTGTGATAATAGTTTTGTGGCTAAGTTTAAAAAATTAAAGGCCCCAATCTTCAGAAATCTACACTGAAGTATTTACCATATTTTAAAAGTACATAAAATTACACATAAAATGTCTGGGATTTGCTTTCACTTAGTAAGAGAGATGGTAGCTGGAGAGATGTATGGATAAGTAAGATCGGCCACAAGCTGATGGTTATTAGGACTGAAGTTTTGTGTTTAAAATTCTACATGATAAAATACCTAAAAAATTTGTGTCACAGAATTTCAATAGCAATTAAATTCAGGAAAAGATATTCAAATGTCTTAATAGCAATTACCAGATAATTTATTGTAAAAGAAAACTTTTGTCTTACAGATTTTCACTGGATTTAGACTTACAAAGGATTATGCAAATAAATGTAACAGTAATTATTGATTAATAAATTAACAGTATTTAAGAAAACCCTATGATGTCAAAAAAGTTAATGAAAACTGTATACAATTATAGTAAGTAATAAAATTATGTCATAAATCTTTACATACTAAAATTGTTGTTTTCAAAGAAGTGAACTTCATTGTTAACATTGCGGGCACAAAGAGTTTCATCTTCTGACCAGGATGGACACCTATGTCAAAAAAAAAAAAAAAAAAAAAAGAGTATAAAAAATATTCAGACAGAATGTAACATCACATTAACATGTTAAAGTTTGTGATATTGCTTACTATTTAAAGAAAAAGTTATAAATATTTGATATCAAGTCAGTTACTAATAGTTTTGGTCAGTATATGTTAATAGAAAAGGCTGGGCATGGTGGCTCATGCCTGTAATCCCAGCACTTGGAGAGGCTGAGGCAGGCAGATCACCTGAGGTCAGGAGTTCAAGACCATCCTTGGCCTACATGGTGAAACCCTGTCTCTACTAAAAATACAAAAATTAGCCAGGCTTGGTGGCATGTGCTTATAATCCCAGCTACTCAGGAGGCTGAGGTAGGAGAATTGCTTGAACCTAAGAAGCAGAGGTTGCAGTGGGCCAAGATCGTGCCACTGCACTCCAGCCTGGGAGACAGAAACTCCATCTCAAAAAAAAAAAAAAAAAAAAATTGTTCCTTTCCACTTAACACTAAAGGAAAGCAATTTCAAGTTTTTACTCTATTACATTCCTGCATACAAAATTCTTAAAATTGTAGATTTTTGTCTGATAAGTTATTTTGAAAATCAACACCAAGAAAACAAATATTATATAGTAATGACATTAAAAATACTATAAAAATTAGTACTTTAAAGCATTTATTTACCAATTTTGCATTTTTTTCTGGATGAAAGATTTCAAACATGTCCCAGTTTTCACATCATAAAGTTGTAGGTTGGGTATCCCAGCTGTGCCATCTTTAGAAGCTGCAATAAATTTTTTTTTTCAGTAATTGCCTTGTAACATTTGTAAAACGATTATTTTTCTTATTTATTAAGTTTGACATGGATTACTATCAAATGGGTTAAATCATGAAAGCTTGCCTCTATGTTACCAAAAAAAAAAAAGTTACATAAAAACACTCATGATTCTCAACTGATTCTCAGTATCTCTTTCATTTACTTGGAAAAATAAGATTCATTAGAGTTCATGCCTCTTGAAAGAACAAAAACCCAGGAGGTTTGTAACCCAATAATGACCTATTATCATTTACTTATTCAACAATATTGACATTATTAGAAAATTTTTTCTTAAAATAAGTCCCTATAACAGTTAAAACGTTTTGATTTTAAAAGTCATTACTATTCTTAAGCTTCAGAGATCTCTATCCAGCAGTCATTTACTTTCTGAATTTTCCATTGTGCTTTTTCTTTTTCTTTAGTTCATAATGGATCTTTACATGAACTTACAATGTACCTTGAAATTACTTTCAGCACATTATTTATTTGGAGAGTACAAGATTCACTGTTTATTGTAAATATTTACATTGTTTACTATCATAAAGACTAATTACTTTCTTATGAGGTTATAAAATTTACAACCTTTTCCCCCACTAAATTTAATTGATCCCGTCAGGGTATTTTTTAATTGAGAAAATACTTACTGGTATAAGGCTGCCACGTTGCTAGGACAGTGTTTTTTGGCGAGAATTCAAGGCAAACTGCCTTTGGGAGGTCGAAGGAGTGGAGTAGTCCCTTGTTAGTGACATTGATAATGTTTACTCTGGTTTCAAAAGAAATTATTTCAGCAATGAAATATTGTTTTATAGTAGTCACCACTAACCGAAATATTCATATCTCTTTTCAAATACAGATCACTCCAAAATGCTCATTTTTCTTTTTTTATTTTATTTTATTTTATTTTTTTTTGAGACGGAGTTTCGCTCTTGTTACCCAGGCTGGAGTGCAATGGCGTGATCTCGGCTCACCGCAACCTCCGCCTCCTGGGTTCAGGCAATTCTCCTGCCTCAGCCTCCTGAGTAGCTGGGATTACAGGCAGGTGCCACCATGCCCAGCTTCATTTTTCATAAATATCAACTTTAATTCTAGAAAATATCCAGAAAACACCTTAACTTAAACAAAACAAAACAAAAGGCTAGGCATCGTGGCTCACACCTGTAATCCCAGCACTCTGGGAGGCCAAGGTGGGTGGATCACCTGAGGTCAGGAGTTCGAGACCAACCTGGCCAACATGGAGAAATTTTGTCTCTACCAACACTACAAAAACTAGCGGGGCATGGTGGTAAGCACCTGTAATCCCAGCTACTCAGAAGACAGAGGCTGCAGTGAGCTTGAGATCGCATCACTGCACTCCAGTCTAGGCCAACAGAGTGAGACTCCATCTCAAAACAAACAAACAAACAAGTATATTTTACCAAAAGGTTCCTACATAAGGCTAGTGCTGGGAAATTATATGAAATTAGAAGGCACATGGATGGTTCCACCTTCAGCTGAAAAGGAAAAAACAATGCCTTTAAGTGAACACAAAACTAATCTACAGAGAAGCTGAGGTCTATCAAACCAAAGGAAAGGCAGAAGTGCTAGAAAAAATGGCAAAAGTATATTTTTATTTTTTATTTGAGATGAAGTCTCACTTTGTCACCCAGGTTGGAGTGCAGTGGCACTATCTTAGCTCACAGCAACCTCTGCCAGCAGGTTCAAGTGCTTCCACCTCCTGAGTAGCTGGGACTACAGATGTGTGCCATCATGCCTGGCTAATTTTTGTATTTATAGTAGAGATGGGGTTTCATCATGTTGACCAAGCTGGTCTCAAACTCCTGACCTCAGGTGATCCACCCGCCTCAGCCTTCCAAAGTGCTGGGATTACAGGCAAAAGCCATCATGCCTGGTCCACAAAAGCATACTTTAAAATTTGAATAAATGGGCCAGGTGTGGTGGCTCATGCCTGTAATCTCAGCATTTTGGGAGGCTAAGGTGGGACGATTGCTTGAGCCTACGAGTTCAAAACCAGCATGGGCAACACAGCAAGATCTCATCTCAATTAAAAAAAAATTTTGGCCGGGCTCGGTGGCTCATGCCTGCAATCCAAGCACCTTGGAGGCCAAGGTGGGCAGATCACCTGAGGTCAGGAGTTCAAGACCAGCCTGACCAACATGGTGAAACCCTGTCTTAAAAAAAATATATATATATATATTATTATTATTATTATTATTTTTTTTTTTTAAGTAAATGGAAGCTGTATCAGTAGGGAAATCAGTAAGGAGACTTTTGACATATGTTACAATCTCAAGAGCAATCTTTAAAAGATATGTCTAAGAATTACTATGGTACAGTACAAAAATGACAACTATATAATAAAAACAGTTCCATTTTGGAATGTTTTCTATGTACTCAACTATTTTGCATACGTTTTTCTCATTTAATCCTTAAACAATCTTATAAATGTCATCATTTGTGTTTTACAAGTGGTTAAATTTAGGCTTAGAAAAATAAAATGATTTGATGATTTGCCCAAGATCATACTATAGATAAATGCCACAGCCAAGCTTTGAAATCACTTTGGCCTGACTCACTTTTATGTACTATACACTATGGGGTGCTAAAAAAAAAAAAAAAAAAAGACACTCCACCATATTCCAGAAGATGCTCAAAGTAACTTTGTTCTACTCAGGTTGGAGGAAAATAACTGAGGTTAAGATAAGCAGTAACTGACAAGAATGAAAGATTACCATATACTATTTAAACACACACACCTACATGGAACTCTTTACAACTTGCTGCAAATAACCTATTTTAGAATTACAAGACGCTTTCTTGTCTTCTCGTTGTTGTTGTTAACCTTTATTTTTTTCTCTGTTTTTCAACCAGAGCCTACTCAGAACTGATGATCTTTAACAGTTATTCTTAGTTTAATGAAGGATGTTTATTTTAATGAAGAAAAATCAAAAGAATCGGTAATGGTTTCTGACTTAGTTAACCAGAAACTGAACAAAGACCACAATCAACACATGAAATCTAACTCTATTGTTCCAGAACAATATGTACCATTGTGGTCACAGCACTTTAATGAAATAAATGCTAGAACCTAGTATAGAAGATATGTATTAAAATCATGGACATGACATATGGGGACATATTAAAAAGATTCAGAGTTGAATCCAATAGAAGGCTAAGTGAGGATATGAGTGAGGCATTAACAAAAACAGACTGATTCAACAAATTCTAAGCTAGAAGAATAAGGAATACGGCCGGGCGCGGTGGCTCAAGCCTGTAATCCCAGCACTTTGGGAGGCCGAGGCGGGTGGATCACGAGGTCGAGAGATCGAGACCATCCTGGTCAACATGGTGAAACCCCGTCTCTACTAAAAAAATACAAAAAAATTAGCTGGGCATGGTGGCACGTGCCTGTAATCCCAGCTACTCAGGAGGCTGAGGCTGGAGAATTGCCTGAACCCAGGAGGCGGAGGTTGCGGTGAGCCGAGATCGCGCCATTGCACTCCAGCCTGGGTAACGAGAGCGAAACTCCGTCTCAAAAAAAAAAAAAAAGAAGAATAAGGAATACCTCAAAAAAAAAAAAAAAAAACAAACAAAAAACAATGAAAAGAAGTACAGTATAGCCCATTAGGCAGTAAATTTCTACTGACTCACTCAAATAATACAAACTAAAATATGGATTAAAAAAAAAAAATTTTGCCGGGCGCAGTGGCTCAAGCCTGTAATCCCAGCACTTTGGGAGGCCGAGGCGGGTGGATCACAAGGTCAAGAGATCGAGACCATCCTGGTCAACATGGTGAAACCCCGTCTCTACTAAAAATACAAAAAAAAATTAGCTGGGCATGGTGGCGCGTGCCTGTAATCCCAGCTACTCAGGAGGCTGAGGCAGGAGAATTGCCTGAACCCGGGAGGCGGAGGTTGCGGTGAGCCGAGATCACACCATTGCACTCCAGCCTGGGTAACAAGAGTGAAACTCCGTCTCAAAAAAAAAAAAAAAATTTTTTTTGCTTACTTGCAACTTACTGCTGAAGACAAAATAAGAAAAAAAAAATTAAGTGCCCACAATAGGTTACACAAAAAAGAGTAAGAAATTTTGAGAACACATCCTATTTTTGAGGCTAAGATTAAAACTGTTAACATTGTAGATAAAACCCACTATAATCATAGTATTAATAATTTCAGAGTAGTAGATTGAGGCCAGGAATGGTGGCTCAGGCCTATAATCCCAGCACGTTGAATGGCTGAAGTGAGCAGACCTCTTGAGGTCAGGAGCTCGAGACTAGCCTAACCAATATGGTGAAACACCGTCTCTACTAAAAATATAAAAATTAGTGGGACATGGTGGTATGCACCTGCAGTCCCAACTACTGGGAGGCTGAGGCAGAAAATTGCTTGAACCTGAAGGCAGAGGTTGCAGTGAGCCAAGATCATGCCACTACACTCCAGCCTGAGTGACACAGTGAGACCCTGTCTCAAAAAAAATAAAAAATAAAAAATAGAGAGTAGTAGCAGATTCAATAATTAAAAAAAAAAAAAGAGGCTGAGCACAGTGGCTACTAACACTTATAATCCCAACATTTTGGGAGGCTGAGGAAGGAGGACTGTTTGGGGCCACGAGTTTGAGCTCAATCTGGTCAACACAGCAAGACCCTGTCTCTATTAAAATTTTAAAAAATAATAATAATAAAAGACCAATGTTTTTAAATTATAAAAGCAGATTCTGCCAGCTACTTATAGTCATAAAAGGTGAATCAACTAATTCAACATCTTCTCTTTAGTAGACAATTTTTTAAAAGCGAGTATTAATCCAATCTTACCTGAGAGTTGAGAGACTTCTGAATACATTACCATTGTAAAGAACAAGATTTAAAATTTACCTTTCAAACTAATGCATTCATTTTCTCCCTTTTGAAAAACCTAACAGTATTAGATGTGGTTTAAAACAATGTAAGTAACTTAAAGTCACACAACAAATATTTTGACATTTGCCTGGTCTGTGAAATAAAATACTGTAGTAACTCTTGGAAAATTAAAAAGGACTGATATCTTTAATAAAATACAAGCATTTAATAAATACAGTTTTTTTTGCAAAACCAATTTTGTAAACTGATATGTAACATACTAAACATGCTTTTGAATAATATACACTTATATATACATAAGACTAATAATAATAACTGCAGACAGTTGTTAGTAATATAACAGCAAAGATAAAACGTACCTACATCTAGGATTAAATGAATAAAGAGAATTATTTTCTCAGTGTTAATAACTTACAGCTCTACTTAAAACAACCAATAACTTACAGCTCTACTTAAAACAATTTCTCAGTTTCTTTAGCATTATGTTTTTCATACATTAATTTTTAATTCTAAGTAACTAGATAAACAAGTCATGGCATATAAATAGAAACAAATAACTGAAGGTATTCTGTGTAATGAGAGGTAATCCCTCACTACATCATGACATTAAAAGATGGATTTTATTGAGACTCAAATATCTGTTATTCAAATAGTGACAGTTACGTTTATATTCATGACACACACAAAATATAATGTTATGCAAATGAATACTAACTTTTCTCCATTGCCCCAGGCAAACAAGGTTCCATCCTTACTAAAGGTATAGACTTTGCAATTCTTCCCAGATTCCCTGAAAATGACAAAAAAAAAAGTTTAAATCAATATATATTAATATTTTTAAAATATTAATATTTTAAAAAATCTGATTATAAAGTCAATCATTTCACTATCAATTTAATAACTAAGAACTTGTACAAACTTCAGAAAATTCCGAAATGCTTTCATCTGCCAAAATACTTTAAAGTGCAATACTAACAATCACACTAAAGTAAGCTGGAACATGATTTCATACTAACAGATCAATCTTAAGAAAAAAAATAGAGGCCTTTTGAGTGAATAAGTTTGTGTGGTGGTAGGCCTTCCATCAATTTCTCACATGTAGTGACAGAAAGTATAACAACAATAAGAAGCTCCTCACTTAACTAAATGCTGATGCAGTATTCTATACAAAAACGAATCTGTGGAAATCAGACTACTTGGCAATATTCTATCAAGTAATCAAAACTCTAAGTACTGTATCTGTCAACTAGAGACAGTTACTATTAATACATCACCCAGTGATAACACCCAAATAGAAACATGTATCTGTGTACCTGCAGATGTACATTAGCGCAGTCACAACATGAGATGAGAACTTCATGGCTAATAAATAATTTGAATTGCTAAATAACACCAAATGCATTGAGAACTGACTAATACACCCCCGTACACTATCTTTACATTAATTCATCTGCACAAATGAAGTTGACGTTTGTGCTTTTGCAATCACACAATAATGACAGCTTACACTCAGTTTATAGATAACAAAACATTTTTTTTTGAGATAGAGCCTCGCTCTGTTGCCAGGCTGGAGTGCAGTGGTGCAATCTTGGCTCACTGCAACCACTGCCTACCAAGTTTAAGTGATTCTCCTGCCTCAGCCTCCTTGTAGCTGGGAACACAGGAGCATGCCACCACGCCCAATTAATTTTTGCATTTTTAGTAGAGACAGGGTTCACCATGTTGGTCAGGATGGTCTCAATCTCTTGACCTTGTGATCCATCCACCTCAGCCTCCCAAAGTGCTGGGATTACAGGCGTGAGCCACCGCACCCAGCCAATAACAAAATATTTTAAAAATCTCTTTCCCATGGTGCAGTGGCTCATGCCTGTAATCCCAGCAATTTGGGAGGCCGAGGCGGGTGGATCACGAGGTCAAGAGATCGAGACCATCCTGGTCAACATGGTGAAACCCCATCTCTACTAAAAATACAAAAAAAAATTAGCTGGGCATGGTGGCGCGTGCCTGTAATCCCAGCTACTCAGGAGGCTGAGGCAGGAGAATTGCCTGAACCCAGGAGGCGGAGGTTGCGGTGAGCCGAGATCGTGCCATTGCATTCCAGCCTGGGTAACAAGAGCGAAACTCCGTCTCAAAAAAATATATATAAATAAATAAGGCCGGGCGCGGTGGCTCAAGCCTGTAATCCCAGCACTTTGGGAGGCCGAGGTGGGTGGATCACGAGGTCAAGAGATCGAGACCATCCTGGTCAACATGGTGAAAGCCCGTCTCTACTAAAAATACAAAACATTAGCTGGGCATGGTGGCGCGTGCCTGTAATCCCAGCTACTCAGGAGGCTGAGGCAGGAGAATTGCTTGAACCCAGGAGGCGGAGGTTGCGGTGAGCCGAGATTGCGCCATTGCACTCCAGCCTGGGTAACAAGAGCGAAACTCTGTCTCAAAAAAAAAAAAAAAATACATATATATATATATATATATATATATATATATATATATATATATAATAAAATGATGTGCATACAGGCCGGGCGTGGTGGCTGAGGCCTATAATCCCAGCACTTTGGGAGGCCAAGGGTAGATCTCTTAAGCCCAGGGGTTGGAGACCAGCCTAGGCAACATAGTGAGATCCCATCTCTACAAAAAATACAAAAATTAGCCAGGCATGGTAGCACACACCTGCAGTCCCAGCTACTTGGGATACTGAGGCAGGAGATCATTTGAGCCTGGGAGGTTGAGGCTGCAGTGAGCCATGATTATGCCACTGCATTCTAGCCTGGGCAGCAGAACAAGACTCTGTCTAAAAAAAATTTGCATATAAATCATCTGAGGATCTAAAATACAGATTCTGATTCAGTAAGCTGGATAGGGCCTGAGATGCATTTCTGTACTGGCTCAGAGGTGATGCCAATATAGTTAGTCCTGGTTGGGTCCATGCTTCTATAGCAACATTCTAGAGAACTGGGCTTAATAAAAATTGGTCAACAGAGTCAGATAATATCAGCTTGATGATGAAGTTCCCTATTAACAATCATCAAACAGTTCAGCTAAAGGTTTCAGCATCGTTTGAAGATCATCTGCCTAGATCAATGGTGCTTAAAGCGGGAACCCCAGATTTGCAGCGTCAGTGTCACCGGAGAATTTGTTAAAAATGCAAATGAGGCCGGGCGCGGTGGCTCAAGCCTGTAATCCCAGCACTTTGGGAGGCCGAGGCGGGTGGATCACGAGGTCAAGAGATCGAGACCATCCTGGTCAACATGGTGAAACCCCGTCTCTACTAAAAATACAAAAAATTAGCTGGGCATGGTGGCGCGTGCCTGTAACCCCACCTACTCAGGAGGCTGAGGCAGGAGAATTGCCTGAACCCAGGAGGCGGAGGTTGCGGTGAGCCGAGATCGCGCCATTGCACTCCAGCCTGGGTAACGAGAGCGGAACTCCGCCTCAAAAAAAAAAAAAAAATGCAAATTATTGGGCCCTATCCCTGATCTCATGAATCAGAACATTTGGAAAGAGAGCTGCAATCTGGATTTTAACGAGCTTTTCAGATGATTCTGATGCCTGGTACAGTTTGAGAACCAGTGGCCTAGATCAATTTCTTGAGGACTATAAAATGGTAATTGTCTGATAAGCATCCATTCTGAATGTATTAACTGGAATTCTTCTATAAAGTTCTTTTTCTCACCGAATATTTGGTTACTCTGAGAAACAAAGAAAGGCAAGATAAATGCTTGATTCCTTCCCTTTATTTACAAATTTTCAAAATAAGGAGTGAGGCCTCCATCAACCACCGATGCTGACCAGTAAGGTTTAAATGGAAAAGGAATTTTTAAATGGAGGAGCATTTATATACTTGACATGCTTTACCCTTCTATTCATAATTCTTAATATTACCATCTGAGGTAGGTGTGAATCTCTTCAAGTTAATTCCTATGACTCTTTTTTTTTTCTTTGAGACGGAGTTTCACTCTCGTTACTCAGGCTGGAGTGCAATAGTGCAATCTCGGCTCACCGCAACCTCCGCCTCCTGGGTTCAGGCAATTCTCCTGCCTCAGCCTCCTGAGTAGCTGGGATTACAGGCACGCGCCACCATGCCCAGCTAATTTTTTGTATTTTTAGTAGAGACGGGGTTTCACCATGTTGACCAGGATGGTCTCGATCTCTTGACCTCGTGATCCACCCACCTCGGCCTCCCAAAGTGCTGGGATTACAGGCTTGAGCCACCGCGCCCGGCCCATGATTCCTATGACTCTTTAACAAAATCTCATTAGTCTTTTAGAGATTCTTTGCTTTTTTGGCACAAAAGTACCTATCTCAACTTGTACATTTTCTATCCCAGACCTAGAGTGGACCACTTCTCCAAGAAGTGGTTCTTTTCAGGGAAGAATTGTATTTAGAAATCACAATCTGTGAGGCTGGGGTATTCATTGCTACTATGTTATTACTGTTTCCAGGCCTTTTCAGTGGACAGAACTAGGAAATGCAAATGTTTTCTGAAAATAAATAATGAGTTCATATTGATATAAGCAAGTCTATCTTTCACGCTAATACTGAAAAATCTTGGTTCCTAATAACATTAATACAATTAATTTACTCTATCTTATAGTGGATTCAAATGACAATATAAACTTTCAGTTAAAAATATAACTATTAGGTTGGGCGAGGTGGCTCATGCCTGTAATCCCAGCACTTTGGGAGGCTGAGGCAGGTGGATCACCTGAGATCAGGAGTTCAAGACCAGCCTGGCCAACACGGTGAAACCCCGTCTCTACTACAAATACAAAAACAATTAGCCAAGTGTGGTGGCAGGCACATGTAATCCCAGCTACTTGGGAGGCTGAGGCAGAATTGCTTGAACCCGGGAGGCAGAGGTTGGAGTGAGCTGAGATCGAGCCACTGCACTCCAGCCTGGGCAACAAAAGTGAAACTCAGTCTCAAAAAAAAAAAAAATAATAAAGAATTTTGCAGGTCTTCATATGGTTAAGCCACCAACATGATATAAAGCTAGGATCACTTATTTTAGTTTCCCACTTTAATTATTTTAATTTTTAAGTTTAAAACGATTATTTGGTCCAAAGTCAAAACTATACCAAAGCTCATTCACAGATGTGTTCCCTGCATCCTGTAACTCTCTCCCCCTATAAATAAGCATTTTTAACTGGCTTTTGGTTTACTCATCCATTGTTTTTTTGGGAAAAAAAATATATCTAGTTAGCTATATACTATGTGCATATCCTTCCTTTTAATACCTTTTTCATTCTGATTTCACTAAGATTACTGGAAGTGATTTGGCTATCAAATTTGCAAGTTTTTCTCATTTCTTAAGATAAAACTCTTGTAAACTAAAGGTTTGTATTCAATAACACTAATGTCCACATTTTTTCTTTCTTTTTTTTTTTTTTGAGACGGAGTTTCGCTCTTGTTACCCAGGCTGGAGTGCAATGGCGCGATCTCGGCTCACTGCAACCTCCGCCTCCTGGGCTCAAGCAATTCTCCTGCCTCAGCCTCCTAAATAGCTGGGATTACAGGCACGCGCCACCACGCCTAGCTAGTTTTTTGTATTTTTAGTAGAGACAGGGTTTCACCATGTTGACCAGGATGGTCTCGATCTCTCGACCTCATGATCCACCCGCCTCGGCCTCCCAAAGTGCTGGGATTACAGGCTTGAGCCACCGCGCCCGGCTACACTTTTTCTTAGTATTGCTCGCCCTACCTTATAAATAGGCTTAAGTCACTATTTTCATATCTGAAGATCATTTTCCTTGATAGAGAACATGAATTCTTTTCATCTTCAGTTAGTATTATATAATATGTACCAAGAAACATCTGTTCTTTTCCTTTCTTGTTCAAAATACACCACCAACAAAAACATTTTATATTTACCATATGTTCCCTGTAACATAACTTAACAAAATAAACCATACCTTGGAAACACTGTGCTTTCTGTAAAATGTGGTGGTCCATTCACCATGTACAGTCCTTCTGATCCCCGGACTAAAGAAATAAGATGAAAACAATAACAATTACTTTGTTAAAAAAGACTCAGTTAACACAGATTTTTTTTTAACAGCTTAAAAGCTATTTATGACAAACCAACAGCCAATATCATACTGAATGGGCAAAAACTGGAAGCATTCCCTTTGATATCTGTCAATAGACAAGGATGCCCTCTCTCACCACTCCTATTCAATATAGTACTGGAAGTTCTAGCCAGAGCAATCAGGCAAGAAAAAGAAATAAAGGGTATTCAAACAGGAAAGGAGTAAGTCAAATTGTCTCTATTTGCAGATGACATGATTGTATATCTAGAAGACCCCATCGTCGCAGCCCAAAATTTCCTGAAACTGATAAGCAACTTCAGCAAAGTCTCAGGATACAAAATCAATGTGCAAAAATCACAAGCATTCCTATACACCAATAACAGACTTAAAGAGAGCCAAATCAAGAACAAACTGCCATTCACAATTGCTACAAAGAGAATAAAATACCTAGGAATACAACTAACAAGGAATGTAAAGGACCTCTTCAAGGAGAACTACAAGCCACTGCTCCACGAAATAAGAGAGGACACAAACAGATGGAGAAACATTCCATGTTCATGGTTAGGAAGAATCAATATTGTGAAAATGGCCATATTGCCCAAAGTAATTTACAGATTCAATGCTATCCCCATCAAGCTACCAATGACCTTCTTCACAGAACTGGAAAAAAACACCTTAAACTTCATATGGAACCAAAAGAGAGCCCGCATAGCCAAGTCAATTCTAAGCAAAAAGAACAAAGTGGGAGGCATCACACTACCGGACTTCAAACTATACTACAAGGCTACAGTAATCAATGGTAATCGTACAGCATGGTACTGGTACCAAAACAGAGATCTAGACCAATGGAACAGAACAGATTCTAACAAGGAATCCTTTTTAATTAGAAGTATCTGAATGTAAAACTACAATGTGTACTTAGCTTAATATAGCATATTCTGAGTTTGTGTGATTCCTGGTTTTTACTGATTTCCTCCTTTAATCAAATGGGATCGGCAATATATTCTAGTAGAAAGAAAAACCTAGAATACAAGCAGTTTTTTTTTTTCATTAAAACAACAAATAAACCCCAGAGTTTCACACAATCACTGTGTGAAATACACTAAACATCTATATCACCTTTCCTAAGCTTACTAGCCTTTTTAGAGACTCATACACAATTTATTGCTCTAGGCCTGAGTTAGAAAGAGAAAGACACAGGGCTTCAATAAACAAGGATCCTATGGCAGGGGTGTAGTCATCTTTAAAATATGATACTTTTCCCAACTTTTATGTTCACTGAACTACTCATCAGTGTAGGAAAATGACTCAATTTTGAATAAATCAGTGACTTCAACTGGTCAAGCAGATTAGACAATATGAATTTCACATAATGGGCATTGTTGTTTTATATGCCTAGCACCCAGCTCCTCTTCTTTAGGAGGTGCAAGGTGCTCATTTTCTTTTGCGGAGTATCTGGAGTGAGAATATAATTTAGTCCTGACTACATGATTAAACGTTGACTGATACAAAGATGAACAAGAGCCAAACAAAGTCAAAGATAGCTAGCCTTAAGATTTTGGCTGAGACTACTGGCAAAAACGTGTCCTTTCCTTTGGAGCTGGGAGTTCGTTGAATGTCAGTTTAAAAATGAATTTAATCTGGAGGAAAGCAAGAGCCTAGGGATGAAGAAAAACAGATTTCTGGCTGGATGCAATGGCTCACATCTGTAATCTCAGCACTCTGGGAGGTCAAGGTGGGCAGATCACCTGAGGTCAGGAGTTCGAGACCAGCCTGACCAACATGGTGAAACCTCATCTCTACTAAAAACACAAAATTAGCTGGGCATGGTGGTGTATGCCTATAATCCCAGCTACTTGAGAGGCTGAGGCAGGAGAATTGCTTGAACCCAGGAGGTTGAGGTTACAGTGAGCCAAGATCAAGCCATTGCACTCCAGCCTGGGCAACAAGGCATCAAGAGTGAAACTCCATCTTGAAAAAAAACCCAGATTTCTGAAGCCATATTTAGTATCTGGATCTAGCAGTACTGAGGTTTTTAGGTTACATGAGTTTAAAAAAATATCCCCTTTTCACTTGCTTTGGCTTTTTTGTCATTCCCAATTAAAAGTTGGGGTTAACAAAATTTACTGGCTAATCTGCAAATTATTCACAGCTCTAAAATCCAATGAGTCTAAATTTAACAAAATATTTTGAAAGAATCTATTGTTGAATAAAGCATCTACATTGAGAATGTTTAAAAGATTAAACAGTCTGTTCTAGTGAAAGAGAATGAACTACGGAGTTGAACAATCTGAATACATATAATCCTAATTCTGACAATTTGCAGTATGAATTTGATCACTTAATCTCTCTGGGCATCTAAGAATATGAAAATATGAAGAGTAAACTGAACAGACAACTTTAAACTCTTACAACGTCCCTGATTTTAAGCACTGTAAGACAATTGTCATCCTTGGTTAATTTGACTATAAAGTAAAATTAATATCCTTCATTAATTTAGAAAAATAATCTCAATGGTATCCTTCCACGACAATCCTTTCATTGTCTTTCATGAAACCAGTCCCTGGTGGCAATTAATTTAGAAGGATAATCTAAACATTATCCTTCACCATGTTTCACCATGTTGGTCAGGCTGGACTGGTTTCGTAAAAGACAGTATTTCCACAAACGGGAAGGAGATGGTTTCGGGATGAAACTGTTGAAACTCTTCAACCTCAGATCATCAGGCATTAAACTCTCATAAGTAGCATGCAACCTAAATCTCTTCTATGCATAGTTCACAGTGGGGTTTGGGCTCCTATAAGATTCTAATGCCCCTGCTGATCTGACGGGAGGGGGAAGCTCAAGCGGTAATGCTTGTTCGGTACCAGTCTGCAGCCCTGGGGGTTGGGGACCCCTGATTTACAGTATCTATTGTTTGCCAGGCACTGCACTAGGTACTGAGAAGACAGATATGAATAAGACCCTGACCCTGACATTGAAGGACTCACAGTCTAGCAGGGGACAAAGACAAGTGAATGTCTAATTATCCTACTTAGTAAGTGAAAAAAAGTTTCAAATATACTTGAAGTATGAAAATAACCCAGGAAGTGACTGACTCTATCTGGGTAGAGTGAGGAAAAGCTTTACAGAACAATGATATCTAAAATGAATTTTAACAGATGAAAGAGTTTGCCAAATCAACAAGAGGGATAGGATAATATTAGACTGAAGAAATAGGTTGTTCAAAGGGACTCAGAAGCAGTTCAGTATTGATGGAGCACAAAATAAGATGGGATGGTAAGGAAATAAATGAGTCTCAAGAGCTATTCAACGATTATAAATGGTTATATACCCTATGCTACTCAGGATTGAATCTGCCCTGTAAGCAGTGAGGAACTACTATAGGCATTTTTAAAGGAGGGGCTATTTATCAGATTTTTAAATGTATTAACTTTTTCACTGAGTTCAAATAAGCATTCAGTATTAAAAATTGTGAATAGGCCGGGCGCGGTGGCTCAAGCCTGTAATCCCAGCACTTTGGGAGGCCGAGGCGGGTGGATCACGAGGTCGAGAGATGGAGACCATCCTGGTCAACATGGTGAAACCCCGTCTCTACTAAAAATACAAAAAATCAGCTGGGCATGGTGGCGTGTGCCTGTAATCCCAGCTACTCAGGAGGCTGAGGCAGGAGAATTGCTTGAACCCAGGAGGCGGAGGTTGCGGTGAGCCGAGATCGCGCCATTGCACTCCAGCCTGGGTAACAAGAGCGAAACTCCGTCTCAAAAAAAAAAAAAAAAAAAAAAAAAAAAAAAATTGTGAATAACAAGTACCTTTATGAACCTAAAAATAATTTATTATGTACTTTTACCTTTTAAACAGTCTTTGCCTAGCATATTATCTAGCAGATTACAGTCAGGGTTTGATAAATGATGACTAAACTGTAGAAGACAGAGTATCAGTGGGCATGGTGCTTAATCACAAAGATTTTAAAATATAAAAATAAAAATGTAGAATGGCAAAAAGTGCAAAAATGTTGTAAGTTTCCTTTCAAGGGGTGGGGTGGGAGAATGGGAGGGAATAGCCTCCCTTCCCAAATGCAGACCTTTCTCTTTTTTTTTTTTGAGACGGAGTTTCGCTCTTGTTACCCAGGCTGGAGTGCAATGGCGCGATCTCGGCTTACCGCAACCTCCGCCTCCTGGGTTCAGGCAATTCTCCTGCCTAAGCCTCCTGAGTAGCTGGGATTACAGGCACGCGCCACCACGCCCAGCTATTTTTTTGTATTTTTTTTTTAGTAGAGACGGGGTTTCACCATGTTGACCAGGATGGTCTCGATCTCTCGACCTCGTGATCCACCCGCCTCGGCCTCCCAAAGTGCTGGGATTACAGGCTTGAGCCACCGCGCCCGGCCTAGACCTTTCTCTTAATGACTTTTTTCCATCTAATAGTTAATCAGAACCAAAGCCTTCTTTTCCTTCTCAACCCTCTTTTCCTTACTGAATACTCTTATGCAAAGACTCCTAGCCACAACCTAGTAAAGCAACTTCCCCAGCATTGTCCAATATGTTTATTATCTTCTCTAACACTACACAGTCTTCAGCTTTAAAATTCCAAGAGTCCACTAATGCTCTACTTCTAATATGCTTACAACCATTTCAAAATCCAATGTTGTTATAATACCTCTATCATGCTCACTGCTACACCCTCTCCTAACCACAACTTCATCATTTGAAACCTGCATTACAGCTCCACTCTCCCTATTCGGTCCTACAAACCCCATTAAGGCAGGAAGAAAAGAATTTGGAATTAAGTCCAGGTGTATTTAACGTGCGTGGTCATCCTAGAGGACTAACTCATATGTTTATCTTTGTCCTTATTGCATAGTTAAATGACTTAACAGGGGCCCGTGTAACACCAGTATTGCAGACCCAGGTGTCACAAATTCAACTAGCACATTCTGATTTTCTCTCCCCCTTCTTCTATTACTGTAGAAGATGAATGGGTAGGCAAGGATGATGGATGGGTGAAAGGGAGGGGGAATACGAAAGCCGAGAGGCGGAGTCTTCACTTCCGATTGCCACGCTGTATTAAGAAAGCCAAGAGACAGTCTGGCCTTTCCGCAAGCAAGAAAAGGCAGAGCAGAGTCCCCGGCTCCTCGGGTAGTTCTCAAAAGCAAAGACAAAAATAAGAAACTGTTTTGAAGAAAGAGTCCCTTGCTTGTTCAGAACTCACCTGTCAAGAGCGGCGTGGACGGCGCCATATTGTCCCGGAAAGAGAAACACATCCACTCGGGTGAGAGTTCACGAGGGCAGCACCCGGCCCCTACACGTCTCCTCAGGCATGGAGACAGCGAGTTGGTATTTCCGGAGTCATCAGCCTCGGGGCTAATTCACTTCCTGTTGCGGGGAGACGCGGTAAAGGCGCCCGAACGCGCACGCGCAGATTGGGGGCGACGTTTGACGGCTTAGGAGGGCTGCACTGGGGCGGGTGCGCTTGCTTTCGCCCTCTTTCTCCAGCGGGAGGAGCGCGCACTTCCGCGGGGCGGAGCCCGCCTAGTGCTGACGTTGGCAGCAGAACCCGAAGTAGATCGAGGCGGCGGGCTGCACTGTCCGGTTGTTGCGTTGCGTTTCCTTCCTCTTTCACTCCGCGCTCCCGGCGGCGGCCAAAGCGGCGGCGACGGCGGCGTGAGAACGACCGGGCGGCCAGTTCTCTTCCACCCGCGCACCCGCCTCCCTCGGCCGGTCAGTAGGCGGCCGGCGCTCAGCTAGTGCTCAGCCTCCGCGTTTGCCGCGCCCAGGCCCAGCGGCCGTAGCTAGCGCCTGGCCTGAGAACGTCGGCGCTCCGGCGGCGCGGGCACCTAGGAGCGGAGCCTCGCAGCGGCTCGAGAGGAGGCAGGCGAGCGAGCCAGTCCGAGGGGTGGCCGGGGCAGGTGGTGGCGCCGCGAAGATGGTCGCCAAGCAGAGGATCCGTATGGCCAACGAGAAGCACAGCAAGAACATCACCCAGCGCGGCAACGTCGCCAAGACCTCGGTAAGGAAAGACCGGGCGCCCCTCTGCGTTTCGCAGCCGGTGCTGAGTCTGGGTCCCTGGGGCCGCGTCGCGTTTTGTCTTGGACCCGGCCGACTGTGGGCTGGTGCTGTGGAGGGGTAGGGGCCCGAGTCTGCGAGCCGGCCGACTGTGGGGGCTCGGGACCCGGAGACCTGTGAGGTAAGGAGGCCCGGCGACCGGGGTGCCGGCTGTGGGAGCCTGGGGTCCGAGTGGTTTCTCTGCATCTGAAATGGTGGATTTTCGCTTTTGCAGAGAAATGCCCCCGAAGAGAAGGCGTCTGTAGGACCCTGGTTATTGGCTCTCTTCATTTTTGTTGTTTGTGGCTCTGGTAAGTGTCTTGGGCGCTCCCATCAGTAGGGTCTTGGGTGAAAGGGTTTAGGAGACGTGGTGACCGGTCAGTAATGAGTCCTACCTGCGTATTTCTCAGCCCACCTGCCGAGGACTCCACATAATTTTATTTCATCTGAACCAAATTATTTGTTCCACATATGCACAGAGGGTGGTGCTCCAGAAACTTCTCCCAGCTTGGTTTATCCTCACTGGAGATCAGAAAGGAGGTCAGGTCCTTGGTAATGATCGAGTTGGAAGAAATGTAAGACCGAACAAAACCTCATGGAATGAGAATTTAGAGTGTTTTGTAACTTCATTATTAGTATTTGCAAAGAAACTTATAAATATGTACATACAGATGTGAGAACTTGATTTAACATATGCCAGAATCTAATGTCTTAATGTCAAAATTGAGTATATTTTATCAAGTAAAGCTTGTGCAAAGAATGGATTCACTATAGTGGAAACGTACTTGATTGGCGTTTTAATGTGTGAGTCAAATGTTTTTAGGTTAATAAAAGAAACGTTTGACATATGGTTAAAAAAAAAATTGTCAGGGCAGCCTGCTGTCAGAGTAACAGACACTTGCCTTTGCAAATAGATTACAAAAAAAAAGTCTTTCCTCTCTTCATTTATCATCTTAATATGCAAGCTGTTAATATTGAAGTGGATGTTTGTTTTCCACATTCTAAAGTTACTGAGATTTCTGTTGAATGTTTCACTTTGCCTTTCTTCTGCACTTACCAATTGGAAGCTTTCCTGATAAATGGCTGAGAGCCAAGCAGTTTATATAACCTAAAGATTATTGAATTTCAGCTTTGTGAGAATGAGGAAACATGCATGTGTTATAGGCCAGGCCTTAAAAGGATGCTTAATTATTTAGGGATAAACCAAAATAATTCTATGCTAGAAAAACCTGTTTGCTTTGGTGCTTTAAGTTCTTTATAAAATGATTACTTGGATACTTAGGCATAAAATTCAGGGAAGCTAAGAAAAAAAAAATAACTCAGCGGCATTTCATTGTTTTATTTATTCAGATAGGCCTATCTTCACTTCTTATTATAATGAAGTTATGTCACATTTGCAAATGTAAGAGTATGGTTGGATTCTTCAGCTACCTTAATAAATATGTCAGTCACCAGACCTATTTCATTCAAAACTTATTTTAATATTTGCTCTTTCTTTTTGCAGCAATTTTCCAGATTATTCAAAGTATCAGGATGGGCATGTGAAGTGACTGACCTTAAGATGTTTCCATTCTCCTGTGAATTTTAACTTGAACTCATTCCTGATGTTTGATACCCTGGTTGAAAACAATTCAGTAAAGCATCCTGCCTCAGAATGACTTTCCTATCATGCTTCATGTGTCATTCCAAGGTTTCTTCATGAGTCATTCCAAGTTTTCTAGTCCATACCACAGTGCCTTGCAAAAAACACCACATGAATAAAGCAATAAAATTTGATTAAGATACAGTAGTGGACCCTACTTATTCAGTCAATAAAGAGTAAGTTTTTTAAAATGTGGTTATTAAAACAGAATGGACAATTAGGCTAAGTCTGCATACACAGGGTCTAGATTTTGTTAACCCTAATGTATAAATGCAGTTAGCTTAAATTACAGTTTGAAGTCTTGTGGTTTTTATATAGCTAGGCACTTTATTATTCTCTTGAACTGAAAGCACACTCCCTTATAGGGTCATGTAACTGTCCTGTAATAAGGTGCTTATAAATGGAACAACTACACAGCCTAGTTTTACCACAACCTTTAGCATCTAAATATTTTTAAAAGCTTCTAAATGTCTAATATAAAAGGAGATACTTTAGCTACAACATCTATCTTACCGATATTGTTTCCATTACACTACCGTGGATTCTACATGAGTGAGTATAGTAACCCAAGATGCCATTGAAAAGAAAAAATTGATCATTTTCTAACTTAATCAGTTACTGTGGTTGCACTAAAAGCTACCGTGGTGGAGTGAAGTCAGTCAGGGAAGGTTTGTTTATGTTACCTTGATTTCACCAGAATTATTTTAGTATATCCGAGGGATTTACTGTGCCAAACAAAATTTTAGGGAAAAATACTACTAAAAATGAATGCCTCATCAGAACATGCTGTTGAGGCCAATGTGCCATAAGATATTTTATTTTAGCATGTTAAATAGCACTTTTAATAGCAAAAAAAAGGCACATCAACTACAAAGTTATACTTACTTTGGAAATGTTTTTTCTAGATTAATGATTGAAATGTCTTTAGGGTACTAGACACATCAGCCTAAAGTGGCATCTTTAATTGAATAGATTTACTGATAAGGATCAGTCTTTAGTCTTCCCTTTGTTACATGATTTTCTAGGTTATGATTGATCAAATTTACCTTTTACTAATGGTAAGGGTGAGGGTGATAGGGCAGGTTTTGGGTTTTCTAGTACTGTTGAAAACTGCAAGTATTGGCTCTTTGTATACTTAGCCATAACTTGGTGAAAAAAACCTGAGCGGTGTCTATGTATTAATGCATTGGAAAGGAAGCTGCTTGTGTTTGCTTTGTTAATTGCCTTTAAAATATTTCTTTAAAATAAGCTGTTTTAAGAGGAACAGAAGGGAAATCTGCTACCTAGTCTATAAACAGTGTGAACCTCATAGAGGGCTTCTGAAACCCTCAAACAAGGAGAACAGTAAGGGAGCGGAGTGGTTAAGGACTTTCTGGAATTGGAAATGAATCAACTGACCTTGGACCAGCAGGTTTTTAACTAAATTGTTACTGCCTTTTTCACCCAGTTAATCAATCTCTGTGCTTGTTTCCCTTTTTGAAACAAGTATCTTGGTTAACTAATTCTATTTTATGGTTGTGCTAAATTCATAGCAGGTGCCTTATTCTTTGCTTTGAGTCACACCATTCCATATCAGAATTTTCCTTGTTTTTTTGTAGATAATTGGCTTTAAGTTGTCATTTTTGTTTTTTAATGTACAATGTTCTGATACATTTGACTGTTAAATTGCTATAGCTGGCAATCATTTTACCTATGTAAAATTGCATTCCCTTTGTATTTCATGTGTAATTTACCAATTAAGTGCATTTTATATTCAGGTTGGATTATGCATGTTTGGGTAAACAAAAGCTGTGTCTCACTTGATTTATTCTTTAAAAATAAAGTTCCCTGAATATTTGATGCTTTTCTTCTAAAAGGAAATGATTTTACAGTTACCTGAGTGTACTTTTTATGGTTATTAGAAAATGATTTTAAAGAATGTTTAGTATTGTACTTAAAAGAAATGGTATGCAGAGGCACAGATATTAAGATTTATAACTGGAAATGGGTAGTAAGAAAAATATAGAAAGCACAGTCATTTAAATATTTTTCCACTTAGGATTTCCTAATCTTCTTTTCATCCCATTCAGGCTCAAAATAAAGCAAAATTCTTTGGTTTCCCTTTGCCAGTTGAATTTTATAGATCATCTAATGTTGAGCACAGTATAAGAATAAATACTTTATTGGGGTTGTCAGTGTTACTCAGTTACTCTTTGTGGTTTAGCTGTAACATTTCAACAAGTTGTCAGTTATTGTATCTGTTGGGTTGTATACAGCATGGCTCAAAATAATTAAGTGGACTTACAAAAGTAAGATTTCCGTTGTAACAGGATACATTGTAATGGGTTTTGATTTACATTAAAGAAATGTGTATAGTCAACCGCAGGGCCATGACTCTTCTCGCTGAGGTTACTGGAGTTCTGTTGGTACAAGGGACAACCATGTTGAGCTGGATTATGTTCTTGCGCTTCGTGGCAGGTTCACCAACAAAACTTGTGCTTTATTGTCTGTAAACTTGAGAGCAGCAGATTCTCTGAGTAGAAATTGTTCTTAAGTTTCATTTGCCTTTATCTGCCTTTTTAGTTTTTAAACTTATTTTTTAAATGGAAACCCTAACTTTCCAAGAGGTAGGAGTTGGTTGGCTTCAGCAGCAGACTCTATGGCACTCCCTCAGAGATGTGTTTGCTGTCTAAACTTACTTAGTACCATGCTAGCTATTTGTACTACTTTATCTTCAAATTGAATTAGGACACGTGTCCTTATTTAGAAAGAGGACTAATGAACAATAAAAGGCTAGAAATTAAGGGAAAAAAATTAACTCTCTGGGC